TAATAGGAATAGCCATTTTTAATAAATTATTAAAATAGCTTCCAGAATAGATGAATTAAGATTATTGGAAGGATTTGCAAATGCTGTATATGTCACCAACATATACTTACTGCTTTAATGGTAAGCTCATGTGCCAAAATTAGTAAGTTTAATGGTTCCACTGTAGAAAAGCAATGTTCTGTATCCTCTACTGTTCTCAGTCTTAGTATGTCTGCCAGCAGAAGCATACTTTTCACAAGAGTCAAAGAAGCTGGAGGGGAAATAAATGTATCCTCTTGGAGTAAACTGATGATATTCTGTTTGGACATAAACAACATAAACCAAAGAAGTTACTACTTTTGCTGTCTATTTATGAGGACAAATAACACAAAGTGAAAAAAAAATATTTTTAAAGCACTATTTCAAGCTTATTTAATGCTGGCATCAGCTGTTCTGACTACATAAAAAATGCATCAACAAAAAGTGAACAGTTTCTCCTTTGTGCTCAAACCTGCAAAAGAAGTTTAATGCCTGCCACAGGACATTTTTCTTGCAGGTCAAGAATAGCAGCTTGCACCATAATTTCAGCCTGAGTCTCAGTATCACCAAAGGCTTCTGCCTCTTGTATTACTTCTTTTATCACACTTCTGCGTTCAGACACATCATTTTCTAAAAGAAGAGAATAAATGAATAGTAAAAATACAGAAGAAAATACTTTCCCATGTCTTCGACCATTCTTAGGAAGTCACTTCCACACTAAAAAGTACAGAACATCTGACATTATAGATTCCACATTTACCATTTCATTGATTCTGTGACAAATTTACTTTCAAAAGAAAGAAAAACCACTTAGTTTTTAAACTGCACTTGGCTTAAGTTCATCCAAATACATTCTTTATATGTAAGCCACCAGCATAAATAATTAGATTTTGCAGATCAGATGTCATTCTCACCTGTAAGACACATTCTACACATTCAAAAAACTGATCTTAGTTATCATTCCAAAATAGTTATGGTCTTCACAGGAATTATCCTGAAGACATTAAATAAGAGTTTGGCTGCAGACCTAGACTGTGATTTTGTTACTTAAGTGAGCTTCATAGTTTTTACTAACTTCATAGAAGAATGAAAAACATTTTATTCATAATCAAACTGCAATAAATGTATTTTGCAGTATCTCACTTAAATTCTTTTTTAAAAAAAAAAAGAATCTGGAACATTTTTAGGAGATATATAGGAACATTTCATTTATTGGAGTATAAAAAGTGAAACAAACTTTTGAGACATTTAAAGCCAGAGGTATGTCGCAACAATGTTTTGTATAACAAGCATACTTATTTAACGTAATAACAGTACAATATTTGAAGCTCTTTCACACACAGGTGATTTATCAAAAGATAATGATAATTAAATGAACATTCATATAATGGTTTGTGTTTACAAGCTCTAGGAAGAGTTTATACTCATAAATATCTTTTCCTTATTGCATTGGATTAATGTAATGCAAGTAATTGCTCAGTGATAACATTGCCCCAGAATTAATGTTAATACTTCTTATTTATTAATAAGAATTGTGTCTGAATAGGCTCACTCCATTATACTTCAAAATTCTAAACCAAAAAAGGTAATACCTTCCATATCACCAACGCCTTGTATCTGTGTTACTAGAGCCGTCACTAACATTGTACGACACCTTAGCCACAGATGTAAAGTCATATGATCTTGAGCTGTTATACTGTGAGGCACTCGAGCGTCTTCAACATAAGAGTCCTAATAATTTCCAAAATCAAGAGAAATTTTACTTTCTGAGTCAACTATACTACAAACAAAGCAACAGGGCAGCATCAGTCTAAAATAAATCAAATTAATACAGCTATATCACAAATAATAACAATTATAACCATGAGTTTATGTGAAGGGTAGATATAAATTTCTTTAGTAACAGGGGTCCATTTATTATTTAACTTTTAATCTGTAGGAAAAAAAAGCATTGTAACAAATTAAAATTAAACCAGCTTTTATGGGAGAGTTTACCTATGTATCCATATTCTGTATGTGTCACGGAGAATAATTCTAACAGTTTGGAATTTATTCCTCTCAAACAGGAACATTACACAAAACTGTAAGGCCCATAAAAGTCTCATTGTAGAGCAAGATCAATAACAAGTTCTGGTACCTCATTAGTGATTAGAAAGAATTATTTTTTTTTTTATTTCTAGTTTTTAGCTTTCTGGTGATTAGAAACAAGTATTAATGTAATATAGCACTGGAAGTGTTTGGGAGAATTCTCAACTCTCTGTGCCATCTTTACATATTATAAACAGTCTTTTATTACTAAAATTCTACAGTCCACATTCTAAATATTTGTTCCAACAAGCAATAAATGGACACGGCACCACCTGTGTTTTACTTATACAAAAAATCATCATGAATGACTTGTATTGATGCAAATGAGGAAAAAAAATTGACTATAGGGCTGTTTGAAGAAAATGTAGGAGCAAGTGCTGAAAGACAGAAGACCCTGATATGCAACACAGAGAATAATTACAGTGCATGCAAGAAAGTCCAGTCTAGCTAGGTGTGTTACAACGTCTGTCTTTTCTGCTCAGTTGCCCTGTCTATGTGAGTCAGTTTGACTTACTGTGGGCTCTGTGGTGTATTACCAACAGGTTTTGTACATTGGCTTTCCAAAGAATAGGTCAGTATCCCTATGTGTTAGACAACAGAAGTCAGCTGAAATCTTGCTAAATTTGGAACATAATAACGATGTGAACTGGTCTGTTTGGCAATTTGAAAGAGGATACTCTGAAGTAGGTTTTCAATCAAAAAATCTAAAATATCTGAGCTGAATAATAAAAGATTTTCACCTGATAGCTATTTTTTCCACTTTCTGTTTGCTTTTGTTTTTTTTAAACAAAAGGGGATTTTCAATGCTGGCATTTGAGAGTATACAAATAAAAACTGTTATTCCTAACCACATACAAATTAAAATTATGATTATAGACATACTGAATATCCTATAGGGAAGCAGGTAACTGAAGCATGTCATACGTCTTTTTCTGCCCAGGTTAATGGTAACCATGTAATACAGATGACTGCTATGTTCTAGTATTCTGAAAATCACTCAACATTTAATACAAGGCTTCATATACTAAGAAACAATATTTTAAAACAAAAATCCATGCATACCGAACATTCCCTTCCATCATTTTCTTCTTGAAAATGTGTCATTTCCATCCTAAAAATGTTTGCATCTTGGAGAAGTTGAATTGCAGAGAAAGCCAAAGCAATGCTGTGATACAGAACAATATTATTAAAAAATACTAATTCTGTTTGCCATTTTATGCTTTTATTATAATAGATACTTCATTTCTGACTACATCAGGTACGCGTATCAGCAGTTATCATTTTTTGCTTCAGAAGAACAAAAAAAGTGCACTCAGTATATTCTGAATTTGTAGGCACTGCAGTACGAAAACAAGAAAACAGCAGTACAAGAAAAAGTTTTGCCAATAACAGATGTAACCTGATAATAATGGCTAAGCCAAGATAGATCACATTCTGTTGGAGCAATCAAAACAGAACTCCACTATAACTTTCAGTTAGACATATCTGTCTTCAGGGATGGGCTTTTACAAATTAGAAGACGTAAAAATACTGAAAATGACAAAATATATTAGCAGAGTTCTGTATCTCATCCACAACTAGAGAGGTAAGAAAATACCTTCCTCCTTAAAAACCTTTCCAGATATGTTAATCTTTTTGTTAAATCCACATGACCAAATACTCACAGGATATTAGTAAACACCATCAACCAAAAATTGACCCAGTTGCCACCCTGGCAAAACCTTGTAAGCAATCATGTGACATTGAGTCTGCTGCCCCCCACCCCAATCACAAATCCTTTTCTGGAGCTCACTCCAAAGAGTATCTGGAAAGATACAGACACCATGAGGACTTGTAAAGCATTTAACCCCACATTTCAAATAATTGTGAGTTGGGATCCCAAAATATTGTCAGGTTTCTTAAAATATTAACTACAGGGTTTTTTTTTTCCTTTTTAGGCTGTCTTTTTAAAGCTTTCAGATACACTGTTCAGTTTCCATTACATCTATAAAAACATATATCTGTAACAGCAGACTTTGTGAATACAATTATTTTTATGATACGAGGACACTTGAAAAACCAACACTGTAGGAAGATCTTTCTCACAACAGGATTTATTACCCAAAGAACACACTAATCAAAATATTCTGAGAACTGCCAAGACTATGTCTCATGGTATTAGTTTTCCACCTCTAATTGTACATTTTCCCCTACATCTGTAAATCTCTACTTTCCTACCTCTTTTCTAAAACATTTTGGGGGGTTTGTTGGTTGTTTTTTTTTTTTAGCATTCTACTTATTCTCTACCCACTGAAACATCTTTTCCTAATGATGCAAAAGTACCCGATGGTATCGCTAGCTCATCTGTTAAATATTTTTCTGCAAGTTAATTGTTAAAAATGTATAACCAAAATTCTCATCTATGCTGTCTTTTTACATAGAGAGACTCGTTTTACATAGAGACTGGCTGCTATGAAGCAAAAGAAAAAACATAATTTATGAACACCTTAAGTCCTTTTTACACTGCCAGAACACTGTAAAGAGCTTTTAATGCAAGAAAGATTCAGGCTCTATGTGAACGTACTACTTTTGAGAAGTTCTAGATTAACTGTCATAAAGGAAAAGCTCTTGATTCATGCACAAAGAAGTCAGAACAAGAGCTGCACTACTCTGAAATTACTCACATTATTCTGACAACAAGTATCTAACCACAGGATGGATAACCTCCAGAGATAAGAAGGTAGTTAAAGTCTTCCTGTCATTTCTGATTCTATCCTGCTTGCTGTTTTTGTGATGCAGACCTGGATGGATTACACCAATTCAGCACAAATAGACCCCAAAGTAACAATGAGAACCAAAACTGTTAATATCTTGCCTTTCAGTTCTCAGAATTCAATCCTTATGAATCTCCTTCATCATCCCTTTACCTCAGTTTTATTCAACAAAATGAAAGCAGAATAAATCAATGTTGAATTTGAAGATAACCTCTCTAATAATGGAAAAGATGAAACAGAATTTGCTTATAAAATCAAAACAGACAGTAAGGATAATGCAATGAAATATCCCAACTGCTTTTCTTTCTTGTTATTGAGAAGAGTTTTCCCCTGAAATCAAAGTTAAAATAACTGCAAAACCTGCCATTTTTCAAAGCATTGTTTGAGATGCAACGGCTAGTATTTCTCAAATAGTTTGGAGAAGGTGCAGCACCCAAAAGTACACACAGACTTTAAACGAATATTAATCTAACCTCCTGAGCACCAATGCCTCCAGTTAACATTTAGCAATTCTGAAAATGAGGCCATATAAATTTCATGAATAAAATGTAGACCACAGGCCCAAAGATTCATATATGTATTGTTTTAAGCAGTAATGTATTCACACAAGCAGTCAAGCACATATTTGGGTAATTAGAAACCTCACATACTTAGGGGAGACACCATGTAAGTAGTCTCCTTGCGATCAATGGAATTAGTCCTATACATAATCCTATTCTGAGGCATAAACTTTTTGCAAGACAGAGGCTGTAATGTAGAAGCTTCCCTTGATGAAATTTTTGTGACCCTCTTCTGCTGTCAACAAGAGTGATGCGTCTATATATTTCCCTTGACAAAATACACATCCTTTTATCAGCTGAATCAGAAAGTGACAAGATGATCAAAATAGGAAAGTACAGCTGACTACAACAATTTCACCACTAAGTCATTTTGCTAAAGGAAAAAAATGATGAATTTCTGTAATATCATGCAAAGTTTGATTTCTAGGCTGGCAGGCAGGAAACATTGAGCTGTCTGAAGGAATGTTTCATTTGTATCTGAGGCAGATAAATCAGCAGTTTCCATGGATGGCAGTGCAATAAAATTGTAAAATAGGTTAAAAAAAAACTCAAACCCTTGCTTTGTTTGTTGGTGGGAGTTTTTCTCCTGCTGTCTGACCACAATCAATATATGAGGCACATTAAACACCTATCAAAAATTTGAGAATCCCAAAAATTATCCATAAAATGCTTGACATCCACTGGAACCCTTGATACTCTAAAAAAGTTTCTTCAATCTGAGACAAATTATAAGCCAAGAGAGCAACTACGCTCTAGGATATAACTGCATGTCAAAAAGAAGGGTCCTGCACTGAAAATGGCTTGCATACTGGAACCAGTTTATCAGGGTGAGGAACTCTGGGTCAGAACTCTGCTAGTACCAGTTTTACCAAGCCTAGTATCAAGCTAAACCAGGCGTGTGCACAGGATATTTCATAAGTCTGTGTACTGGTCCTTAGTTACTAATATGATAATTTTATAAACTCCACATGGCACTTAAAAGCACAATGAGGTCACTGTCCAGTGATTTGTTGTTTTCTCTTTGACAAATTTATGGTAAATTAATCTAATTCTAAAGGCACTGAAAAAGATTAATATTTCATTATAAGAAATGTCCACAAATAGCCTGCAAGTTCTTACTTCCCATCTTCACTAACAACATTACTCCTAAATTATTACAGTCCTAATATCTGAGCTTTTGGGAAACTTCTGTCTTTTAAAATAAAATAAACAAAATCTGGGTGAAAGACCATGTTGCAGTACTCTTACTGTTTTCAGTTCACTAGTCTATACTACACTGTGAAGCTCCTGTCCTTGATAATAATATTTTTTTATTGCTGTACCATAGCAGCTAAAAAGGAATTGTATTATTTAAAGGCTATCTGATTTGGAGGTTTGTTTATTCACCTAATGCAGCTAGGAGAAAGAAGAGAGTTTGCCTCTGACATAGAAGAAAACATTTATTTTTTGTTAATTGGGTAAAAAGGAAAAAAAACTCTTAAGACTGGTTTTATCTGTGGGCCACCTCAATCCCTTACCATTTAATCAGCAAGAGTGTTACATTGATCTTCACCAGTATTGCAACAATAAAAAAATTTAATTTTGCTTTTTTTTTGGTGCTTACTGTAATGTAAGATTCACTGCAATAACTTTGGTGTGTTTAGTCAAACTTGAACTAAGGAAAGTCATAAATACTGATCACATTCTACCTAATCGCCATATGGTCCGACAAGTGATAGTGCTGCACCTCTATATGCTGCATCTCTATTTAACAATCTGTACCCTCAAAGATTTTTCAACGTAAGAAAAAATTAGATAAAAAAAGATAAGATAAAAAGACCTTGACACTACTAAAATGATGCACTGTTAAACTATTATCCTTCTTATACAAATTAATTTAAAATTACAGGGAAACAGAAGAATCCTCCTAGCTAAAAACTAAAACAATGTTCAGAATTTAACATCTACAAAGTGTTAATATATCTCTGTGTGCCCCCTACATTCAAAGAACAGCACAACTATAATTTCATGAAGCTGTCCAAAAGAAATCAGGACCTCAAAAAAATCACAGAATTTGGAAGTTATACTTTGGAGAACACATCTGGCAGATCATGTAAATACAACAGTATTTTACACACTGTCATGAACAATACAATTAATGCCTACCAAAATCTGTTCTAATATGTTAAAGATTACATCAATGCTTCTTAATCAAATTAATTTTTAAAATATAATTTTAGCATTTTAATTTGATAGAAATAAGTACATCAAGAGGAAACGTTCTTTTAGGACAGTAACACAGGGCATTCTAGAACAAACTAGAATTCAATAGTTCAGAGATAACACTAGTGCTCTGCTGCACACTTTAAAATTATAAAAGATGCATGACCTCACATATCTGGACTTTAACAAAAACAGTGAACAGTGCAGCTTTCTTTGATTTTGTAGAACACTGTATCACAAAAAGTTCTATTAAAAAGTAAAATAAAGCAATAATAAAAAATGAAATGACAGTATAACTTGCATTTGTAGATATTCTAGTGGGGTTTTTATGGCTGGTTACTAAAATTTAGGGTATTAATGTAGACATAAATGATTGAAAGAAATTGCTGGAAAATTTTTTTTAATCTTCTGTAGTTAAGGCTGTGCAACATAAGGTTGTTCATGATACTACTTACCTGAAAGCTGCTTGATGCCTTTGCTGAGAAATAGCAGCAAGCTGAAGTTTGGCCTCAATAAGAGTCTCTAAATCTTCAGCAGAACACTGAGATATCTCCCCATCATATTTGTCCTGTATGCTCTGCACAAGACGGCTAAGAATTTCTTCAGCTTCTGTCAATAAAATCCCCTAGAGAAGAACATAGCATTGTATGATTTCAAAAAATAATGAAAGAAATAAAAAAATTCTTAAGAAGTATTTCATTCTGTTATAGCCTACTGTCACTGCAACCTAAAAGAAACCAACTTGAACACAATATGCCTTTTCTATAAATAGCAGGGGGGTTAATTTTGCTTTTTTCAGGTTTACAGATTGAATGTGTTGAAAGTAGCAACACCTTAACTGTGCCTGTACTATTGCAATTTGTGCTTAACTTCATATTTTATGGCTTAGCAATATTACTCAATAATTTTTCATTCCTATCTCTATCTTATAGCTATACTTGATCATTTTAAACTATACTTCTTACTATGCTTAGTAATTTTAAACAATAAAATACAATATTAAGATACAATATTAAAGATGTTGCAAGAAGTATTATATTCTTTTCTATCTATACTTCAACAGAGCCTTGAGTGCAGTGTGTATCCTGAAAGTTCAATTGTAATTTACAGTATTTCTGACAAAGCTGTAAGAAGCTGTGAAAAACAAATCTAAAATAAACTTAATTTTAAATTAAATCTCAATTGCAGAGCTTTCAGCAGAATTCAAAAAACAATTCAAAGGTTTGTATCATCCAATATCTTTTTCTGACAGTTCCTCAATTAATTCAGAGCTCTACTTAAAAACATAAAAGAGTAGAATGGTTAAAGAAAGATTAGAAGGGTAAGAAATATATTAAGCCTCTTAAACATGCCCCATTTGAATTAATTTAACATTTCTATTTCAGCTATTTTCAAGATGCTGTTTTAGAGTTATTTTCAAGCTATACCAAAACTTTCCAGTTTCTAGTGTATGGCATACACCAATTGCTGTACAAAATCATCCTCCATTTTTCCAGATGTATTTTGTACATTACTTTGTTTGTAACAATGGCCAAAAGTAGATACTTCCAAAGTGGAAGATCCTCCCGAAAGAGGAATATGTCAGCCCTCAGTTTTGGTCTTTTTGTGATGTGCAACTGGCAAACATGACATTTACAATTAAACAAAATGAAACAAAAACTAAACCCAAAAACAAACAAACCAAAAAAAGCCCTTTAAACAAAGAAGCTAACAAGCTGTGGTATATTTTTTTCCAAAATTAAGTATCAGAAAGAGGAACATGAAAAAATTTGAGACATTTCACATATGGTAGAGAATGACTTTCCATTTATTTGTAGAGGATACTACCCCATCAAAGAGTTTCTGACATGCTCTACAGGCATCACCTCTGACAGGAGGATTTTATCCTTGGAATCCCATTCAGTCTTTACCCGTGTTGCTGAAACAGTCATACCAAGATCTGATTGTGACAATATTTGCCATGGACATTTATATAGCATAAACCAGAATATTTGAAAAAGTGCACCAAACCGCCAAGACTTCATATATGGCCAGTAAGATTACAATCAGATTAGAAACAGAAATTTCTAGTCCCCTTATTCATGCCATCCTCCCATAAGCATTTCTGTTACATTGAAAGCATTAGCAATGTTTTGGGAACAATCTGCAGTTTCTTAAGCTTGTTTTCCCTAAAAATCAAAATTACCTTCAGCATGGCCATATTTAATTCATCTTTGCAGTCAACGAGCTGCACCATTGTGCCTCTTTGTTCCTGTTGTCTTGAATTCTTATCAGCATCAACTGTCAAATACATTTCAAATGAAATTTCAGATAGCAGAAGCAGAACCAAAGCATTCTCAGTAATTTGAAAAATATGCCTCCTTTTTCTGTATTTCCAATCGGGACTTTCAGTATCAAAATAAGAGAGAAGAATGAAATACTCTAATAATGGAATGGAATGGAAGCTCTAATAATATTAGAGATATTAGCTAAGAAAATCTTGAAAAATCTTAATGCTTATTATTTCAATAATGACTGATTTTTCCAGCAATGTTTAATATGAATATTGTTTATACTATGACACCTTAATGCATATGCAGTTAAAAGTGGAAAAACTATGCTTGAAACAAGTTGCAGAATAAATGAACTTTTCCACCACTCCTATAATTACCTTTTACATTTGATGCTGTAATTCTGCTTGTCTCCATCAAGCTGTTGTTATCAACAGAATAGATGTGCTTTTCCACTTTTTCAGGTATATTATTTATTGTGGCAGAAAGGCAAATGATGAAATGCATTTTGGCTAAGGTTAATTTATTCATAGTTTGTTGGTTGCACAGTGGCACCATTGTTAAAGACAGACTCCAATTAAATATGTCTTCCAGTACCTACAAGAACAATTGGGACTATTTGAAATGACATATTTAAAATTTTTCTTGTTCAGGGCATATTCTGCTTTTATTAATAATTATACTTATCAACAATTAACATTAATAATATTACTAATATGCTCTTAGTCATTATGGATGAGTTGCTGTTTTCCTTTCCAAACTTAATTCACACCTTAGTAGCACTTGCTACAGCCTCAATGATCAGTTTTCTAGTAGAAGGTGCATCTATGAAGTTATAGCTATTACTCTGTGTGGGTCCTAAGTCTTCTGCCTTGTCCATAGCACTCTTTGAGCTAAGGTGGTCACAAAGAATATGTAGCTAAATCTGTAGTTCAGAAATCTCAACTCGAAGGAAAGTCTGTTGTTACAATTTACTCTAACGAGAAAGACTGAGCAAGAAAAAAATTGTTGTGTCAGACCATTCTAGCTTATTTCATAGAAACATTTTGTTATTCATGATAGCATTCTTGTTTTATCTTGAGTTTAATATTCTCACTTTAGATTAATAAATTTAGAAGTTTAAAGTCTACACAGCTTTGCAAAATCATGAGACCAATAAGAGCCCCATATAGACTATAAAGCTCAAGATAAAGCACAACTTCAAAATAAATCTGAAACTAGTGAGATCAAAAGCTGTCAAGGCAGATGTCATTTCTGTCTTCTAATATTGACTGTTGTAGGAGACACACAAGCTTCCTGTAAACAAAAGAGAGAAAAGTGAAGGAAATTGTGGGGGTTTTGTACTTTATCAGTTTGGTTTTAAGGTACAGGTTCTTTTCTACACTCTGCTAACATTTACCCCTCCTGGCTCAATGGATCTGTGACAAGGCAAATATAAGAGTATTATTAAAATTGAAAACCAAAATAAAAGTCATTGATGGACATGTAGTTTTAACTAAAATGAGAAATGACTGTTCATTAACTGGTTTACAGATTCACCTTTTTTTCCCTTCAGAAATGGACTTCAACCCTAAACTTAATTGAGGACAAATCTATGAAGACAGCTCTGATTGATACAAATTATAAAGCTAGATCACTGATGTTCTTAATATTTTAGCAGAAGAAACATCAGACCCTACATACCATGACAAAACCTGAATAATTCTACTAGTATGCTTTGCATAGACAAGTCACAGATTTGTACATATTAGATCTCCCATCTGAAAAATGCTGATAAAGGTACTTGCCTCTCCCTTGAGATGTCAGCCATAACATTTAACATTTTGGAAATGGTCAACTGTTGAGGAGAATGTTTTCTATCTGCTGGTTTTTACTAATAACAAGTATATTTTCTGAACCAAATAATCTCTAACTAATGCCAGAGAAATAAATATTTATGTCTTCCATAAAATTTTTAGCTCTTTCAGACTTTTTTTTACCTGTAAATTTGTAACAGTCAGGAGAGATTTTGAGGAGTCAAATTCCTGTAAGGGCTGTAAAATGGACAAAACCAAAAATAAGTAATGTGTTACAACACGAGCATAAAATAAGTGAGTTAGCAGAGCACTGGACAAGTGTAGTGCATTTCCATCTATACTTTGAGGGCTCTGAAAATACCAACAATTATTGGGCTTTTATGGGCTTTACATTTTGGAACCATAACCCGAGACCCAGAACTATTCGTACACCGCCTATACCATTCACCAGGATTCTGCAACCTGAAGCAAGGGGACAAAAAGGTATAAACCAAGAAAAATCCTTTTTCAAATTCTAGGAGCTCTATAGACACCAACCATCAATTGCCTTTATGTTCTTTATATTTCTGAATCCCAATCCTAACTCGACTTAGCACATGCCTCCTCTGCTATTCACCAGAGCACAGATCTGTGAATGGAATGAAAAAAAGAACTACAGGTCAAGATGAACCTGAGACCTCAGCCTCCTTGAGGGCTCTAAAAACGACAATTTCTTCATTCATATGTACTTCAATTTTCTGAACCCTAATCCTAATTCTAGTCCTTTCTTTAAAACCCTTTACCTTTTCACCAGGAGACAAATCAGTCTACTGAGGGGAAGGAAAAAGGCAGAGGTAAACATAATTTCCAGCCTTTGTCATAACTGAGAGCTCTACACACGACTGTCGCTTGGGTTCTATGCGGTTTTTATCAACTCTTTTATTAACTTCTCTACTCCAGATGTAGCCCTCTATCATCTATGTCATTCCCTGGAACATGGGCCCTTCTTATTCTGGGAGCTGTGCAAAAGTCCAACAAGCACTTAGCTTCTACATGCATCACACCCTAACCAGAGACCCAGTGCTGAACCTCCTCTGCTGTTCACACAAACACTCACCTGTGAACCCAGGTAGAAAAAGACATGTGACAAATGAACCAGATTTCATCCTAACATTGTGAGCTCTTCAGACACCATACAAATTAAGGAAAGGACTTAAAGATGCTTTTTAACCTGGCTTGCATCAGTAAGGAGTAAATCCATTCCTTACTGTAGCCATGAACAGGGAAGCTTTGCAGAACCACCTCCAGTGAGGATGCTGATAACACTTTATAGAATCATAGAATCATAGAATGGTTTGGGTTGGAAGGGAATTTAAAGATCATCGAGTTCCAACCCCCCTGCCATGGGCAGGGACACCCTCCACTAGACCAGGTTGCTCAAAGCCTCATCCAGCCTGGCCTTGAACACTTCCAGGGATGGGGCATCCACAACTTCCCTGGGCAACCTGTTCCAGTGCCTCACCACCCTCACAGTGAAAAATTTCTTCCTAATATCTAATCTAAATCTACCCTTTTTCAGCTTAAAACCATTACCCCTTGTCCTATCACTCCACTCCATGAAAAAGAGTGTTTCCCCATCACTCTTGTAGGCCCCCTTCAGGTACTGGTAGGCTGCTATTAGATCTCCTCAGAGCTTTCTTTTCTCCAGGCTGAACAACCCCAACTCTCTCAGCCTGTCCTCATAGGGGAGGTGCTCCAGCCCTCTGACCAATTTTGTGGCTCTCCTCTGGACTCTCTCCAACAGGTCCAGGTCTTTTTTATGTTGGGGGCCCCACATCTGAACACAGTACTCCAGGTGGGGTCTCACAAGAGCAGAGTAGAGGGGGTATGTCTCAACCTAGTGAGAATGTAAAGTAGCTTGTGCTCTGAGGAACATCCCTAGATTTCAGTTTCTTATCTTCACATGCAGTTAGTATGAAAGTGTCATTAGCAAATTAAATTTTTCTATAAATATTTTAATTTTAGTTTTTATTAAGTTCATGTTTTATTTAAAACCTAGTACAACTGCAGATTATTCTTGGAGGAGTTTGTCCATATTTCTGTTTTTTTAAATGTAAATCATAAATGTAATTGTAATTATTCCCTTATTAATTAGCTTAGACATTGATTTGTTGGCTACTGCCAAAAAAGGATAGTGCTGTTCTCTGCTGGTTGTAGCCATTGTGAGGCTGTGGAGTAAGGCCAGTCAGGCTGTGGGTCAGCTGGAAACTTCCTCTCAGGGTTTGGTGAGGTGGGAGAGGGGAAATTTCTGTTCAGATAAGCTCATCAAACTCAATTTGCTCTGCAGTGTCAGCTTTGCTGTCTACAACACAGGGTAAGGGAAGCAAATGTGAAGTCATGGAGATGGGTTAAGCATTCTCCTTTCAGCACTACCCTGTAATTATCACCAGATTAGAAATATCATCCTATTGCATGGATAGAATGTGGCTCTATAATCAAGTTAAATCCTGCTGTCAAAAGGGATGTCCCTACCTGTCCCAGTGGTCTTCTACCACATGTTTAGTCCAGCTTCTTGGCACTGGCACACACGCTTTGTCATGGGGTGACAACTACCCAAAAGCACTACTCAGATATGGGAAACCTTGATTACATCTGTCCAGCAATAACTCATTAGATTATGTTGCTATGTGTGTGGAAAACAAGGAATGGCTACACAATTGTTACAGGGGGAGGCTTGCCCGATAGCTCTGGACTGTATTTGCCTGCACAGGTATGCTCACAGGAAAGACAAAGAAGCCCAGGTCAATTGTTAACAGCTCCATAACCTTGTAGCGCATCAGTGATCAAGGTAAGATCACTACTTGGCTTTACGCATGGAGAAAATAAAAGAGATTCACCTGGGGTGACGTGACTGTCAAGGGTCTGAAGGCACCACTAGCTCTTGCTGCCCAGGGCCTCTCTCAGGGCTGCCCCCACCCTGCCCACGGCCCAGGATCCCATGTCAGCCCCCCAGAGCCATCCATCCCAGCCCCAGTGACTCCACAGAAGGGCCATTCTCCAGCTCCCCACAGCCCAGCCCCGCCATAGGCCCCCTGAGCCGGGCCCACCCATGGGCCCATGTCCCTACCCAGCCTCAGCCAAACCCTCGGCCCTCTGCAGCCACCCTGGGGCTTTGCTGAGCCCAGCTCTCCCCGCCAGGCCTGATCCTGACCCCCACCTGCAGGCTGATGTCCCCATCCCTCAGGGACAGCCTTAGCCTGTCCCCGGCCCTACAGACGTGTCCAATGGCCAGGGCTCGGCACTGCCCCAGCTGCCTCCCTCGTGCCCTGCTCCTAGCTGGGAATTTTGCCTTTAATGGGGAAAGAACTCTATCCATATTTTTTATGTCTACATATGAAATCACACATTATTTTTTTAACAGTATTATCTGCATTACTCACTGTATAAAACAGACAGCATGTATGTTTCAAAAGTTACTTTTGTTCCTGCTGTTCAGTGAGATAAATTAATTTCATTCAATGCCTACTATTTGACCTGCCTACTGGAAGAAATTTAGGGATTTTTTTAGGAATGTGGAATAACTTGCAGACATGGAATATGTGCAGTTTCATAAAGAGAACTGAGTGTTATAGGTCGATGTTACACTTTACTGGTACTTACCTTCACTTGTTCGATTTTTCTGTATCCTGCAGGTATTTTCCATGGAATTCTCTCTCCACAATTAAGCAAAGACAGTTCATGAAAGGCCTCTGTAAAAAATCCTATATCTGTAAGTACTTTAATCTGTGAAAAAATAACAGAGACTTTGATTTAAATAATATTGAATTATTCTTTTTGCTCAAAATAATATCTATTCAAAGGTAATTTTCAAATAGGTTTGGCTACTGAAATAGTACATTGATGGAGAATGTTCTCCAATGGAAGGAAATCTTCTACATTTTTTATTAAATAAGTTAAATCTTCAAGATGGGTCTTTCACTTAAAAAACAAAACAAAACAAAAAAAAAAACCACACCCCAAAAACATATTCTTCAAAAACTTGCTCCTGACAAAGGAAAAGAACTTAATTCATCTGGCTAGAGCTTTGTGTGTCAGTCCAAGATAATCAGCCCCTTATCAAAATCTGTTTCACAGATTTTACAGATTTTACTCATCTTAGTCACGTACAACTCAGCTACTCTCCCTAACTCGTATCAGCATTTCCTGAAAATATCTAAAACCAATAATACTTTGATTCTTACTACAAGTTAGATTCCTTGGGGGGGGGGCGGAAAGAAAGATATTAAAAAAAAAAAAACCACAAAACAAAACCAACAAGGGAACACTAGTGAAATGACAGAAGTCTGTTCCCAGAAGTCTGGCTACCTGGTTCCACCATGATACTCATAACACATCCAGAAGTGAACATTGTGAACAAAAAATAATTTCTGTTTTGCACTTGAGAAAATATTTAAAAGAATGGTGGAACAAGATAAAAAATACCAAGTAAAAAGTTTGGATCTAAGAGGGAAAATCTTATGAGCATATCTTTAAGGAGAATGGAGAGTAGTAAGAAATGATGGAAGTTGTTAAGGCTCTGTAGGACATTAAAAGTAAACCTGTATAAATAACTCTTCATGCTACTAAAAATGAGAATAGAAATAATGATTGCATTTAGAAAGTGGTCCTATTCTACACTCTATTGTAGAAAAGAAACACTAAGCAACACGGGAACTTTAAAGCACTACTCTTCGTAGTAGTGATATATGAAGAAATATTAAAATGACTACATTTAACAAAGAAATGAAAATTTTATTTTAAATACAATGTGCTATGATAAAAAGAAAGTTTCTTTGATTACCTTGAAGATTCTTCCTTCAATACATTTAGCTGGGTCCTTACAAATCTCAGAAACAAAGTATTGGTATAATGTGAACAATGGTAAGATCTGTAGAAAAATATTAGGTCATCTAGTTATAAATGCCATAAAGGGTACAATTTTAGAACTGTACATTGCTATTATATATCACAAATATATAGATAATACAGGAGTATTGCTTTCACTGCCACATACCACCACCACTTATCTTATTCCCTGTGAAGGATGAATGTGTTGAAAAGTTCTTCAGCTGGCTCACACTAACCCCTTATACTATCTTATATGTGATTCACAATGTAGAAAGTAAAGTTTCCCCAAATTATTCTCTGTGTTCAAGGTGGCTTTTTTTACTATACCATTAGTTGAGTAAGCCTACTAGAAAGATGTTGATATAAGGGATTTCTAAAACTGGATGCATTTTGATGCCATAATTTTTTCAGTGTAAGAACATAATAATAGAATTCTGTGAGCTTTATAAAAAAAATACAATGAAGTCCTGCAATTGTCTAAGTGAAACTATACCAATTGTAAAATAAACTGGATGGTGATAAGGCTTATTGACAAATTTATCTGCATTCATTTCAAATTGAAAGCTTTTGTAAGGGCAACTAATAAAAAACATTTTAAAACTGAGTTCTAGTAACGCATATGAACACTGTCTTTATTATTATATATTTCAGAAAAAGCAATTCTTTCCTAACAGACATATTTGTTTATTGAAAATGAAAGAAATTCCAAAGTTTAATTACTGTTCAGCTTTTATATTTTTCTTCACTTTAAAATGTCCCCGAGCTTGGAAGATGCTAACAGCATTGTTACTTTCTTGTCAAATGCACACTTGTTTTTCATAGTGTAGCTTAATACTCCTGAATTTGGATTACAAATGCCCAAGGCAAATGTTTTAATTGTACCCATGCAGTTTCCAACTGATATTTGAAGTAGTTCAACAAAATTAGTCTCTGAAGTCTTATTTTTAATACAACTTGAATCTTGATGTATTTTGATTTAAACTTAGTGCCCACCATCCAAAACATTTCCACACATTAAGGATTCAGTGGAAATGAAGCTCTCATTCTACGGAAACTGCAATTGCTTTGACCATGATCTATGACCTGGATCTATATTCCACTAGTACGAGTGCAGAAAGAATCAAAAGTGTGCATGGCCATGTGAAGCAAGCAGTCAAATTAAGTGTCCCTGCCTCCAGGTAACTGTCTGCTCCTTGATCTCATTTGATCTCCCATAGTAAGGGCAGTTCGACAAAGCTTAATCACAGAGTGAACTACAGTAAAGCAGGATGGGAAGAAGCAACAACAGGATAAGACAGAGACTTAGCTTGAAGTTCCAGAAGAAATCAATCCAACAAATGGCTCACTGACAAAAAAGGGGTAACATCTTGCTGCCTCGACCTCCCTAACTCCTGTTCCATCTCCACCCCCTAACCTTTTCTTAATCCCCTGCCACCAGCCATGCAATCTTTTCCCCTCGCTTGCACTGGCTCTGCCACTTGCAGGACCTTTCCATAAGTGGATTCAACTCACTAAAACAGAAGAAACATATCTACTTTTTCTGCTGGGGAGTTTTCTGTCAGAGCTGATTTATAGAGGTATACAATAATCGCCTGACACGAAATCTGTTAGAGCACACAGGATGAAACAGGAAAAGAGGTGGAATTGCACCTTTTTCAGTACTAGTAAGCAATTCAATCTATTTATTCCAGTGCACAGCACTTCATCTTTGCAGTGAAAGAAGTTGGAGGTGGTCAGTCATTAAATGGAGGAAATAAGCACATGATCAACATAAGAGGAAAGCTGTAAAAACACTCCATAGAGAAGAATAAGAGAATGTGAGGAGGAAGACAGAAGGGACTTTTATTGACTGAATGGGAAAGTAAAATTATTGGAAGCATTCTGCACATACGGTGTTTAAAGTAATTCTCAGTACAGTGTATTTCAAAAAAAGTGGACCATGTATTGCCATCTTCCTGAATAAACAAGTACCCTGTACATTCTAAAAATTGTAGGCAGCAAGCTATACCTTGCCTCTATCTCAGTGCCACAAAACCTAACCATACTGGCATTTTGCTAGAGCTTTGGAGTTATCTCATAAGTACACTCACACATAAAAAAAAGACTTGATGTCTTCAAATTAATTTCTGGAGTATAAAAACAATACTTACTGTTAAATTTTGTGTTGCACAATGTAGTTCAAACATAAGGAATTTCAGACTTGCTACTACAGTAGAGATATCAGCTCTGTAGTGATCAGAGAACAAGTCGATACCAGGAATAAGCATATTTGTTTCATATTGTGCAAAGTCACAGTCAGATGTTGGATGTGGAAGAGAAGCTCTAAACAGGGTCTGAAAGCAATAACAATGAACTACTTGTGAAAAGATGTATAGGCATTAGTGAAACACTATAAAATTCCTACCCTTAAGACTCGTAAATGACTTCATAAATGAATCTCAGTCAATGTCTTAAGTATCCAGTTGTTTCCAGACAAAATAATGAAAAATCTTTTTAGAAAAAATGCTTTATGTGTGAACTTAATGGAGAAAAAAAAAAAAAAACAGGCTGTAAATAGTCTAAGGACAGTATTTCATAGAACAAGCAAAAAAGAAAAATTAATCTAGGTGTAGAAAAACAATAATGAAAGACTACTCAGCAAGTACTCCTCACATAACGAAAAATCTTCCTAGAGAGACAGTGGTATTTCTATCAGATTCCCATTCCAAGCACCCCAAATAAATCTCTGGAAGGACTGGAAAAAAACGAATAAATCACCAGCAGTTCTCACAAAGACTTCTTAGATAGTTCTTAGGATAAGCCTCTGATCAGCAAATAGAAAGAACTTAATAATGTATTCAAGCATCTCCATAATCAAGGAAAATTAATGGGAAAAATTTGGTGAGATTATTCTGGGGATGTGTTCAAACACTTCTTTACCAGTCTGAAGATGTTTAAGGGAAAATGTCTTCCGTCAGAAGAAAAATCTTTATCTTCCCCAGAAGCTAAGAAAGCTAGTTTGATTTTACTTAGCCTTAAATCTTTGCCCTGGCATCACCTCAGCTGTCCTTTCTGTGAGAGCTGCTGACTTTAAGGCCAGTAAAAAGCTAGTTCCACCCTAGTTCTGCCTTTCACTAGGTCAGCTAGTGCAGCTTAAGTCTTGTAACTTAAAACTGATGTGAATTTTAAGGAAGTAACTTAAATGTTCCTCCTTCAAAAAGGGAGGTGTGCTAACATTGTCTCTGATGTTGGATATTCCTTCCCAATTGTGTTTATCTTGTTGTGATTAGCAATGATATGCTAAAGAAATATTCATCTACGTACTCAGATCTGAGATATTTATAAGCCTAAAGCGCATACCAGAGGTGGAATTCAAATAAGGTTATGAAAGCTTTCCAAATCAAGGAACAAATTATGGGCTTGAACTTTGCAAGGTACAGTGACAGTAACTGATTATATTTTTCATGGCACTCACCCTGCAAGCTACTCCTATCCCAATTAATATCAGACCCATTTCAGTCAAGTCACAATTATTTCTACCATTATACAACTGGAACAAATACTTACTACTATTTCTGTCAAAAGAAGGAATCAAAATTGTTCAGCTTTGTACCACAAGCAATTACAGTGCTAGAAGCTAGTAAAAATTCTCCTTTACCTTTGTTTTTTGTTCTCCCTCTGCTGAACTAAATGATGTTTTAAACATGGCCTAGCACAGGTCACACAGTCACAACCATGGCTGGCACAGCATGTTTGAAAGCGGCATTGGTTTGTTTTGGAAGAAGCCAGCTAACATCCTGATGCTGCACTGGGATGAGCAAGCATTGATCCCAGCCAAGTATGACTGGCAGAATACTTGCAGTTCTTTTTTCTATATCAGTTTTGTCACTGGTATCTTAAAACTTCCTTTTAAAAGTAAACCGAAACCCCCTTTTCCTCTATAGTTGGTTTCTGAAGGTTTGGAACTTAATTTTAATGATCTTATTTTCTTTGTAAATGAACCTGAAACATTTTGACTATCATCTATTGTTAGAGTAAGCTTCTTACAGAGCTGAGATTTTAGTATTACAAACCAATATCTTTCAATGATAATTCTATAGAGTCTGTTCTCCTGGTTGAAAATTTATGACAATCTGTGAAGACTCTACAGGTCTGACAGCACTCTGCTATTGTTGATGCCATTCAGCTCTTCCTGAGCAGATCACTTCAAGAGAAGAAAAATATATTTGACTGCCAAGTATTTTAGCCATCTTCACTTTTCACTATTTCATTATTTCTCTGAGACACTAGTCTCTTATTGAAGTGATAATTTTTAGTCTGCAATACAGGAATAATGTTAAAAAACAGAGAATAAAAACATCTAATCTAATGTGCACAAATTGTCAACTAACTCTGATCTCCAGCTTTCCTTTACAATCAAAAGAGAAAGATTTATTTAATAGAGGGTTACTGAGATCTAAATTTTAGAAGCCATTTGTCAACTTCATTAATTCTAAATGAAATTGTATTCTTACCTTAAAAAGAATAGCAGAAAAATAGCAGTATTTAGTTCTTAATCTCATCTTTGATGTTGCTATATACCTAAAGTACACCAAACAATAAGAAATATTAATGTGCCCCTATATAAATTATTCAAGCTCTTTTTTTTATCTAGTAAAATAATGATACTAACACAATCTAGATATTTTCCATAATGGAAAACAGCTGCCTGTTCTGTAGATAGGTGCACAGCCATGCCATGCAAAGAAAGAAGCGTTTCACCAAAGACATACCTAGGGACTTGTCTAGATTCTCTTTAAAGGAGAAAAACAGGCAATCTAAGTGCAAAATTCCTCTTATAGAAAACCATGTAAGAAAGATAAAGCAGGTCAAGACACTCACACCTAAAAGTTTATTCCTCTCCATAAAGGAAGCCTAAGACAACTAGCACATGTGGACTTTCACATGGTAGGTGTCTAGCTAGATTAAACGAATCCCACGCAGTACCTCATCAGAGCTTTAAACCATCCTGGTAGTGGGGTACTCCTTTGATCTACAATATTATAAATCTTGAACACAATATTAGAATCCTTTAATCTGCATTTTACAGCCTGAGACTAAGTAGCTCTAGAGAGAGAAACTCAAGGGAAAGATGTTTAACAGTCCAAGTCAGGTCTGAATAGAAAAGATCTGCCTGAGAGGGAAGCTGAGAGGATAGCTCCCTCTAGATCCCCGCCAGGATTTGGAATGGACCTACTAGCAGCAAAGTGACAGCATGCAGTGCAGGAAAGATGTGCCACAAGCACCTGTAAAGGAGCTAGGGATTGGGTCTTGCCTAATTGGACCTGAGACTGCACCACAGCTCAGAATTATTAGAGCTGTGGTTTAGAATCAACTTAAACTCACTCCTTTTCCTCTTGGGTGCTAATTCTGAGTATGACAATGGTTTCATCCTGAAATACCCATGCCAATATTTTCAAAGATACCTTGGGTTACAGATATTTTACAGTGCTCTTAATATGCCCTGCTTCTCTCTTAAGACAGTTTTCTCAGATGAAGCTTTGTCCTTTCATGGGTATAATGGTCATTTAGAGCTGGCTTATCTCTTTCTAAATTTTATGGTTTGTACATTTTTATATTGTACAATTTATATTGTACATTGAGGAACAGCTCAGAATTACATCCATAGTGTTTTACCAGAAGTCCAGGAGTACCGGACGGAAATATTTATTGATGGTAGACTTTAATACAGTAAATCAAATTTCATTTAGTTGTAATTCACCAGAAAATTAGTACTTCAGGCAGTAAATCTGCCCTCAAGATACATTAATATTTAATATGTGCAATGACTTGGGAGATGTGATATTTCAATTGAAAATCAATATGACTGTAAAATCCTTGCACTTATGACTTTTTATCATTTTGTTTTATTTCAATGATCTCTCCATATGATGTACAGCTGCAATTACGATCAAAGATGAGCACTCACGGAAAGGGAACAAACAATATTCTCCAAAAGAGCAAACGTCTTCCTGAAAGGAAGAATTCCTCTGCTTTTAATTAGTCTTTTTTATAGCAGTTTGTTAATGTTTTTAAATCAATTTCACATTGCCTATTCTCCTGGATGATAAATTTGTTTAAAATATGAAAGAAATGCATATATAGATAAAATACTTACTGAGCTATCTTAGCCACTAAGACTGCTGCATGTAAACATCCCCAAACTCCAGCCTGAGAAAGAAATTTCTGACTAATATCCGTCGATCTTCCAACTGCAAAGCAGTCTGTAGCACTTTTTGGAAACCCTAACTCTTGCCAATTGTTAAGAGCATCAGCAATGTTGAGTGTTTCATCAAGGGCTTGACACCAATATTTAAAAGCAGCTCTGTAACACATAAAAAAATGTTCTCCTCATATTGCTGACATTTTCCAAAGTGGAAGATAAGACTTGCTTCATTTTACCTTTATTGCCTGAGTTATAACTAATTCTGATTAGGTCAAGAACTGAAATACAGTTTCTGCAGCACAAAAAGATACCATTCCTGGTCAAGGACTTATTGGGACTTATACTAAAATTAAATTGTCAAGCAATAGATATTACTTACTGCAAACATTGAGATGCTTAATTAATTTGCTTAACTGCAATTAGCTAGCTAAGAAATAAACAATTTCTAGAAGAAAAGCCTCTCAAACTATAGCTAACAATAAGTTAGATGAAAGAAGTTATATGGACTTGAGGACAGTACAAGAACTTACATGACAGTTGAAAGGTATATGAATGCCAATTTAAAAAAATGAAACCATGCCCTTTTTTTAATCCAATAATAATGTACCTTTTATTTCCAGCATAAAAGTGAAGATTTCCAAGTTCATGTAGAGCCTGAACTTTGAGGTCTCTCTGGTTGTTTACTTCAAGGATTCCTGATATTTATTTTTTAATCAATTAGAAGAAAAAATATTGTCACATTATTAAATCAATTACTGAAGTTTGAACAAATTTTATATGAGAAGTAGACATGCATTCACACGTAATTCAATGCATTAATATTTTTGAACGATTTATTAGGCTTGTATATGTTACCTTCAAATGTACATTTTATTTCTACTAACTTTAAAAACAAGAGTATTTATGGACCTGTTTGCCCAAGGTCTTGTATTTTTGTTTTTTGAGACCTCTCAAATTTCTTCTCTCTTCAAAAGATAAACTGGGAAGCAGGCCATTGGCCCTGCTAAACAACACTGCCTGCATACAGCACAGCAGCACTGTCCCTGGCTCATTTCTGGATCCCTTGCTTCAAACAAAACCACTTACAGCATCTGTTGACCTGCTACACTTCACCTATTTTGTCATACAGCAAAAACAGGTAGTAGTGCTGAGCTGTAAGTACATGAATACAGCCATACTAGAATGTAAGATGGAAGCCAAGCAACTAGGTCTCATATTCAAATGCACAGAATCTGAAAGGTCTGTTTGCTAGAAAAAAAACTATCATGGAATTAAAATGAATCTGCTAAACATTACAGCAGATTTTTAGTTTGGGATTAATCAGTATAACACCACTGAAACAATGCTTTTTCATAAAATGAGATAACTGTAGAGGTTATGAACCAACCAGTGGCTTGTTTAGGATCTAATGCAGATTTTCTGAACCAACGGGAAGAAGGTTGTGCATTTCTCGAAACTAGCTTTCAGACAGTTATAGCTGTCTGACAGAGGAAAATAACACTGGAATAAACATATATTAACACAGATAGGCAGAATGATATTACATCTTGTCTGTAAACAGAGATTTATTTTTAAAATTACCAATTGTTTGTTCATAGGAAGAGATAATTACTGAAAGCTGTGACTGTGGTATTGGTTTACTCTCAACCATACTGGAGAAATTAAATTTTTCTTCAGAAAGGTCACACGGTGTTGGCAAGAATATCAGTCCAGTTCCCACATTACATTCCGGCCTTCTATTTGAAGAGATACAACTGTTGATTTTTCTTTCAGCATTTTCTAGACCAGAAAAGTAATTTATATGATCAGTTTGGAAAAGTATTATACTGTTTCCAGCACCACAATTATTTCCACACCACATTACTTGAACAAATATTCAGTTCCTGTGTACCCTATTTTTATCTGGTTTCCTATGCTATGATTCTGTCTGTGCATCTCCTATTTAAACTCATTGGACATAACTCATTGGTCAGTGCAACCAAATAAAAATATGTGCTCTGTTAGAGAAAATAAACCTGAGAAGATCTGCCAGTCAGGCCTCTGACAGAGGTTTGGCTGCAGACAGGCAAGTGACACAGCTGCATGAAAAAAAATTATCATCCAACCATGAGACAGAAATCATAGGAAATCAGGCTTAGATTTGTGCTTACAGAACTTCATATATTACTTAAATTCTATGATCCTTCTAAGTGTCAGTAACAACTAAAACTCGAATTTAAAAAAATCTATTCCTTTTACTCTTTACTATTTCAACTGCATATACACTTTATTAAGTGAGAAACACTTCAATAAATAACTCACCTTGTGTGTGTGCCAGAAATAATGAAAGTAGCTTTCTGCTGTGTCTCAGTGCTCTGCTGTGATATTTAGATTTTTGTAGAGTTTCTCTAAAACATTTCAGGGTATCATTCACATCAAGAGGTACATAAACAAGGGCTTTCACTTGACGGCAATCTAAAAGGAATTAATAATTATGGAAAACAATTTTCCACTACATAAATATATACTTTTAGTAAAACATCCTGCAAAACATATATTTGAGCAATTCCACAACTTCAAAACTAAAATATATTAACGTAATTGTCACCTTTGTTTCCTGTTGGATTATGAATTAAAGCAAAATTATGAATCACCTCTGACCATTTATATCTTTTTCAGTGTTATATTTTAGTTGTCATATGACATCTATATTCCCTGAATTCCATCTGCCCTGGGCATGCCTCAGCACAGCTCTCTGCTCTGAATTCTGGTGTCTGAAGTCTGGAATCAAATCTTTTGCTACAACTGCTGATTCTCTTTGCTACAATTATCATAGTTTCTATGTACTAAACCTGTGAGTTGGCATGCTCTCTCCAGTGAATGCATAATATTATCTACTCTTACGTACAGCATTATTTATTGTTTAATGCCTTTCCTCAGCTGAATTCAACACAAAGCTTTGGTATGCAGTGCGTTGACATATCTGTGATATGAAGAACTATGCTTTACAAAGTTCCATTAATGACTGTAACATTTTAATCCTGACTGAAAAGAACAACTGTGGGTAAAAGAGGTGTTTCGTCACATTATAGTTCATTTTAGTTTTTAATATTGATTCTACTGATAATAATGCAGGTTCACATTAGCTTCTGGGTATATTGCTGGATATCCAACAATACCGACAGAAAACTGGACCAAGACCACCAAGCTCACTCAACATACTGTAGGTCATCTAGCATCTGGACGACAACTGCTTTTCTCTGCTTTTAGATACAGTTTGAATATATTTGGAAAGGTCTTGACAACATTGCTATCCATCCAAAATATCAAAAATAATAATTTGAAGACAAAACTGAGTTTATATTAAAAGAAAGAGATCGTAGGAGCAGTGGAAGACCTACAATAAGGAGGAAAACAAACAAATAAAAAATCCAATAGGAAAAAAAGGAAGGGATTTGGGAGAAAAGAGAACTCACGATACTGAAATGTGCTCTGACCTGTATAATCATTTTTCATCTCAGGATAGAAAAAGCATCCAGGAAAAATCAGTTCACTAGCAGAATGGGCAGCAGGCAGCTGTAATTTCTGCCCAATGTAGTTTCTGCAACTCATCTAAAAAGCAAGTTTTGTTTCATGATAATTGAAAAATATTCAGCAAAATTAATGCTTGGTAGTTAAAGTGTCTAAATACTCAGTCATATGACAAAATAAAAGAGGACTAATTTACAGAGACACCAATGACCAATAACTAGCACCCTTGTCAGTAAGAGGTGAAACATTCACAACAACTAAATATCGGATATAAGTGTTTAAATGTTAATTGAACTTTTATCTTATTGGGCATTTGCCATAATCATGAGCAACTTATTTATGTTCAGCAAATATTCCACCTTTCTTTGTCTGGATAAATGCATACTTGCAAAGAACCTGTCAGTGCAAGTATGCCTAAAGAGCACACTGCCTGTAAAGCACAATGTAATGCTGCATAGGGATATACAAAATATCTCTAGGCAAGTAACAGAAGCAGTCTAATTCTGTCAAAAAAGCAAACTTCCAGACTTCTATAAAGTGCTAATCCAGCACAGACATTTTATTTTGCTAATGTAGCAACATCACTTCAGAAGCAAAAGAACCAATTCAGAGCTAGTTCTAGACTCCCTGAACAGCACTGCATTGTGAAATGTAGCAATAACCTCCACATTTCTAACTTGATGATGTATTTTTAGAACGATCTTTATTACTATTAACTAACATTAGTCTTTATTCTGTAAAATGTCTTTCAAAACTATGATCACTTTTCCACATTGCTCAGATTACAGTGGTATGTGGTGGCTCGCCACACTGTCTTTTTTTTTAGAGAAAAGACTATGTTCTGAATGGCAGGGCCTGAAAGAATTCAAAAACTTACAAAGAGATGAGACAGAGCACCTCAGCCGCCCTTCTCAAGCCAGGAGCGTCTTCGGAGTACCTGCAAGCCCTGGGCAGCAGTGTGCTGACTCTAGACAAGGCAGTGGCTCCTGAACTCCACGCTCATGTTCAGAACAAACCTGTTTGGAATTCCAAACCCAACTTTCCCCACTCTCCTTCAAGCCCTGTGTTTATATTAGGAATAGAAACATATTAAAAATATCAACCCTGTGACGGACTATAGCAAAACTTACTAGAAATAAACCTTAGGTTAAAAAAAAGGGAAATCCTAATTTTTAATAGCTATTTCCATAAATAATTTCCAAGTGGCAATGTCAGTTTATTAAATATAGAGATCCATGGCTTTTAATGAGAGGAACTTGATGAGCAGCTTAGGGTTTTTTTGTTGATGATCAAGTTTTTCAAGTTTTTATTGGTATTGTCAGTGTTCGGGTTAACTTAATTTGATTAATTTTGGTCTTCAGGAGCAGTGTTCCAATGCAGAAACAAATCAGTCTCTTTGTATTTAATTTTAATTAATCACAAAGATTGTGCAATATAAAAATAAATGTTTTCAGGTTAAAAGAGTGGCATCAAGAACTAACATGAAATTAGATTTAGGCTCATAATATGGAATGGCTATGTCATGCACGGATGAAATCTGGGTCATCAAGTCCAGACCTCTGCTGTTCCTGGAATCATTTCATATAAGCTTTTTCATGCACCTCAATCAATTATGTTCATTAATTTATTATAATTTACTATTCGTGCACATTATGAAAAGCCATATTAATCTAATCAGCGGAAGTACTTCTCTATCTTTACTTCACATTAAGACTCAGTGCCCAAAACAGAAATCTGTGGTTCACCTTATCAGACAGATATTTTATGAAATGAGATTCGTGGCTGTCTAGGCCACTGAATTGCTGTATTCTGTCCAGCAGCTGCCTCTGAGCATACACCAGCAGCGGACTCACTTGTTCTGTGTATCTCTCACTGAAAAAAAGCAAAGTATAGTAATTAAGCAAAATAACAGTATATTTATCTATATAACATTGCTGTTTAGTTTTTATTAGAGTTGGTGTAACTTACTGTGTAAATATGTTAAATTGTACAGCTATGTGTACCAGTGATCCCCACTTCTTCATTTGATATAACAATCCTATTGTTTTAAGAATCAGATTACATATCCATTTCAAGTCAACCACGTTCACATCATCCAGGGGAGACTGTGGATGGAGATTAGAACCACCATTCTCATCCATAATACCTCCTAAACAACTGGGAATGCAAAAGTCTTCTTCAGGATCCACAATCTAGGAGTGAAGAAACATTATTCTACCTGTTATTTTCAAACTTCTTTTTAGAACAAATCAAATTATAAAGATCCTCTAAAAACTCATTACAGAGAATAACAGAGATATCAGAATATAATGCAAGAGAAATAAAACTATCTACTGAAAATGTAATAGAGTATATTGTCTTAATAAAAATAATTTTTACCTTAAGAGACCTACTTGCTTGTAGTTCAGTTATCATATCAATAATCATGTCTGATGCCAAATAAAATGGGAACCAGATGGTGTTCCTAAGTAAACCCCTCGTAATGGGAAATGTATCCATATGGGAATGTGAATAGTTAGCAATTAATTGTAATTCTCGAGTATAGTTCCAAAGTTCTCGACAAGCATTTTGAAGCAATGTCCAGTGGCCACCTCGGTGAGCAAGAACCTATGCATATCATTCAAAATATAATTATATTTTGTCAATACAGAAATTAAAAGCTTCATTCTTTGCAAAGCTTAGGTGTAAGTAATCTTTCAAAATTACAGTCTATGGATTACCCTTAATAAAAGATCATTCAATACTTTAATTTACATAAAGCATTATAGAACCTTAATTTGGAAATTTTCATAGAAGCAGTAATTTATAATTTAATTTAATAGTTGCTTTAGGTGTGAGAATAACAAATAAAAAGTAATTCACGCCACCTATACATGTAGTTTTACTTGGTTTTAGAAAGGTTTATGGGAAGAGCAGTCAGTCTGCACTTCCTTTCAATGATTGGTCCTTCTGTTTATACTACTAAGGCATTCACTAAGGCCTGTAAAGGGAAAAGTAAGTCTGCAAGCATTTTCAGAAAGACTTAACAAACATGACAAGGATAGTTACAAAGACTAAATGAAAAAGAAAACATTTATATAAATAATTATATATTTGATAGAAATATAAATGATGAGAGGTGATATGTCCAGCATTTCATACACTGTACTTGGACATTCTGCAAATGAGAAATCATTGTTTTTTCCCACTGAAGTTTTTTTGAAGTTTCCGAAGTGTGAGTTTTTTTAATGTAGAAAGTAGGAGGTATTGTAATGCAATGCTTACTAATAAATAAAGTGTTAAATAAGAAAGTGTATCTTACCACTGCTCTTCTTAAATGCAAAAACATTTTTGTAAAATGCTCCAGTAAAATGTTATTTGATGGAGACTGGCTGTATTCTTTGGAGGAATGAGAGACAGACATTTCTGTATAATTTGTTGTTAGGGTTTGAGGAGTATCCGTTCCACTCAGTTTAATGCTGTGCTCAGTAGATTTAGCTGTACCTGAAGACAAAAAGTTCACTGGTTAAAGTTCTCGAAAAATAATAAAAAAGAAAATATTATCAGCCAGCTCGGATTTTCCTGTGGCAGCTAAATACTTAAATGTTAGGAAATGCCAATGTTAAGGTTATCATATTTATAAGGTTATGATATTTAAAATATAAGATGCTTTTACTTAAGCGTTGAGAAAAACAGGGATAAAAAAAAAGCTTAAGCAAAATAATAATGTGTACGAAATAGTTTTTAGTCTCAAAGCCAAAACACAACCCTCATAAAAATTAAGTTTTAGGAAGTAATCACCATGGTGCAAGCTCCCAAGAACTTCTCTGGAACCAAGGCCTCTTAAAAGGAGAAGTTAGGAAGAAAGGAAGATTTGTGACAAAATCTGTGGCGTGTAGAATTGCTTCATTATTTTATTCAATACCAAATATCCTCCGAGGGGAAACACACAGGTTCATGGTAATGGGATACAGTAATACCTGAGCTATAGGTTTCAGGCAGAAGCTAGTTTCAAGCTAAACAATATTTGAACTCTATGTTAAACTACACACTTAATGAAATTCTTTCATTCAGAATTGCTGCAAAGGCTAGGAGGTAGTAAACAGGACTTCATTAGTTTTCAGCAACTTTCAGTGACTCGGTTCTCAACAACTTGTAGGCATCAAGAGTATAACTGAAAGGAAGCTGTTGCACAGAGAACTAGTGAATTCAGCTGCTAGTTTTTGTAACACCTCCTTGGAAAAGGCAAAGAGGATGGTTGATTCCTACATAAGGAAGTCCTATGTGGAATGATAGGAGAATTTTCCTCTACGGCTGTGGCAAGAACATGTTCCCTGGAGCACTATTGAAAAGATCAGGCTTGTGATTTCTTCTTGAACTTCTGGTGGCCAGGCAGACTACTTTGCATTGATGTTAGCACCAACATCTGAGGTAATCAAAATTCTATACTTCACAATTACCTACAAACAGAAGCCTTTCAGCTCCTGTTGAAACCTCAAAGGATGTTACTGAACATAGCTGCGATAACAGAACAGTCAAATGTGAAAGACAGAGAATTGAAGTAAAAATGGTAGAAGACAAAAAATTGATCCTGAGGTAGCCCCTGCTACAGGAAAATACTGGGGAGAAAGACATGAAGGAAACCTAAATTATTCTACTTAGAATTTGAAAGATAATAATAAACTTCAGTCTATAATTTTGAGAAAGACTTACAGAATGACCCAGAAAATTACTGACCTGTTAGGAGGCCTAAAGGAAACAATTAACAACTACAGAAACTGATAAAAATTATCATTGCATTTAGAATAATCTGGAATATTATAAATTTAATAGGTCTAGGTAGCATGACTTCTGCAAAAAGAAAAACTAGTATCACTAATTTATGAGAATTTATAAACTTGTTACTAAAGCATAAGATAAAGAATAACCACTAGATAAAAAGTAACATGTTTATCAATACAATAAACAATGCTCAGAGTTATAAATGCCCCATTATTGACTATGACCTCTTTTATACTCGGTATGCCAAAAAGAGAAAATACAGAGGACACTTCTGAAATCCAGAAACATCTTCTCTTTAAATTGTCATAAGTGCTTTTCCAAAGGTGATGTGCAGAACTAGTGATGGAGGTCAGATAGAAATGAAGAGAAAGTAAAAGGTAAGTTGAAACTGATACCAGTTGTGCATGTTAAATGTTCTTACAAGTTTGGTTTTTGGTCATTCCTGACTTCGTAAGGAGAGGAGGAGTTGGTGTTCTCATGTTATTTTCTACGGCTTCTCTCATCACTACAGTGCCAGAATTGTTTAATGAGAATATTTCAGGATCCAGAATATTGTAACTGCAGAATGGAAGAAAAAGAAGAAAGCACAAAAAAACCCAGATATAATATTAAAAAGAATTTTTATATATACACAAAATTCAGTTTCTCAAAAGTGAGTTCTGATTACTTTCCAGCAGCTTTAGGCATCAGAAATAATGCATGATAGCCAAAAGTCATAAGGAACGAAAACCCAGCACAGTACAATATATTTCACAACTTTCATCTGATCAGTCAAGTGAGCAACCAAAAATGTGCATGTCACCTACCACATGATGGAAAACAAAACTTTTTATATAGTAAATTAATTGGCATTTGGAAGCTGAACTGTTTATATGATGAACTGACCGATGACACTGTAATTCAATCTCTTTGTATTAATGGTAATAACACGATAATCTATATTAATAGCAATCATTGATAATGTGGTAAAATATACCTGTCCTGATGCTGTGAACCACAAACTCCAATGTTATATTGCTCTTCTAGTTTCTTTTTAAGTAAGTTGTAGTGTGCAATAGCCAGATAGATATTCATCTGAGACCTCCAGGGCATCTCTTCAAGACATATTTGATGAAACTTCTTTCGGTTTAAGTAATTACTCACAATTGGTTTCAGCAATACCTCTAATGTTTGATGAGCTACTTTTTGCAACTCTTCCTTGAATTTCCTAAACCAAAACATATGAAGTAGCAAAAAATGAAACTGTGTTTTCCTGAAGCTCTAGAAAAGAAAATAATTATAAAGATACATGGAAGTCTCACATTGCATATCCAGAGATTTGTATCAACTCAGAAGCATATGACATATCTCTAGGAAAAGGATTTTTGCTGCAGTCAAGAAAAGCAATTGTGCTTTCCCTCTTTAAGTGCACTTAGCACACACTAATTCCTATCTTATATTTTACCAACTTCTGTAAGATATTTGTCATAGTACTTGCAAAAAGTTTAGCTCTGTGTTTGAAGTTATTTGTCCCTGAATCACCCAAATAGATTATTTTAGCAAATACAACGTGTTTCACACAGTCTCTTCAGGAGATGGAGGGTCTATTATCATACTGTAAATTTGGATCATTCTTTTTATTGTTGTGTTTTGGTAGCTAATCATCCTTAATGCTAAGAAAACATTTGATTTCAAATGTGGATGCCGGCCTTTAATTTCAAGCCATAGATTTTTTTTTTATGTTTCTCTGCCAGGTCAAACAATTCTATATTACCTGGCACAAATACAATGCTGTACTCAAATCAAATCTCACTTTTTCTTTTTTGTAAACTGTAAACTGATCCCTTTATCAGTCTAAATTATTCTACCTGTTTTCCACCTTTAAAATGTGAGCAGAAGAGTATACCATATAAAATGTTCATTATATTATACAGCAATATTATTATGTAAGATACAAAAGAGTAGCTGAAAAAGCAAAAAGCCCAGGATAACTTAAACATACCCTCTTCCACTGAAAGCAATGAAAAGCATATTAAGGTGGATTTTTTTCTGTCAAGGATGAAAAATGGACAGTTTAGGTAAATATTTAGAAGATGTAAGACCTTTTTGATGTTTTTTATTTAAAACACTTCCAGAATAAGTTCTGTGATTGCTTATATTCAGAGTGACCAAAGCACCAGGTAATGAATATTGCAAATTCTTTTGGGTCAGAAGGTACTGTTATTAGCAAGTTAACCAAATATATACAATTATCTGCAAAAAAAAAAGAGGTGAATGAATTTTAATTTGTTTCCATCAAGAAACAGTTTTCCAAAAGTTACACAACAGATAATCCAAAAAGGCTACCAAAAGGATGACAAAAATCACTCTGAAACTACCTGAACATCACGAACAAATAAACATTCTTTATTAGATTTCTAACAGGTAAGCTCCCCAACAGTTTAAAAAGCATAGTACGCAAATGAACATAGCTTTTCCACCATGGTGAATCAACATGCTCAAGCTAAAACAACTGATATACAAGCTTCTATTATTAATACAGAGATTTTAAAATCTTCAACAGTTATTCTCTTGAGTGCAAGTCAATTTGATACAAACTCAAACAGAAAAGTGAGTGAACTGTACACAATTACATCCCTTTGATAGAAAAAAGTTTTAAAATACACACTTAATTGCAAACTAAGTTTCAATTAAAATATTTTGGTTCTGTATATGAATCTGACCACTTATGTTCATTTACCTTTGTGCTTCTGGAGATTTCATTATGTTTGGACGTTTCATGAGATACTGTCTAAGAGTCTGGTTTTTTCGACTAGGACTCAAGGCTTCTTTTCTTGGTTTCTTCAAAAGTGATGCCTCTGGTTTCTTTAAATGTGAGGCCTGCATACTCTTAAAAAAATTTTTCCATGGAAACCTTAGATATACTTCAAATATTTATACCTACATTATCAATTACTCGATGTATACAGCAGTTTGACTTACACAGGAACAGAACAGAAAATAAATTCTGGAACTGTTTTTCAAAATAAGACAGCAAAAGAAATATTTATTATTCCAGAAAGCTTTCCAATTTTTCTGGAAGGCATGTGTCAAATGCCTGACATTAAGAAGCCATCCAGGTCCCCAAATATTTTCTTTAATATACCAGTGTTTTTCATCTTAAAAATAAAGACAGGTCTTTTCCTATTATTATAAATAGTAAAGTTTTGCAGTGCAAAAACTGAGACAGAAAACCCCCTCCTTAACCTTCCTCAGACACTAGCAGTATTACAGCATTACTAGAGGGCTCTGACAGAGAAAACGCTTCCTCCAAAACAACACAAATCCATTAAGATTATTCTTATTTTTCAATAAAAGCAAAAACTCATTTTAAAAGAATTCTCAACAAAAAGCCTTTATTGTGCAATTTGAATACCTGCACAAGGAGTTAATCACGAACAACTCCACATGAAAAAGTGTAAATACAACATATTGTACAAAAAAGCCTAAACCGACCTCCTTTTCTTAATGTGATGGTACCCAAGGCATTCCCTATTAACATATTGGTTTTTCTAAAGGGAGCTGGTGAAAGGCAAGTTTTCATTGATTTTGGAATGCATTACTGTGACTCATCTCAAATACCTCACAATTGGTGGTCTTTCAGATAAATCTCATGCCAAGTTTTCTTCCTGGTTTTAGGAGTGCAGAGGTGAGCTGAGGACTACAGTTTGTATCCCAAATTTTAGGTATTATGCATGTCTCTAGGTCAGGTTTATATGAGACAGCTTTTAAAAATTTTTGTGCTTATGGTATTGCTGCCCAGTAAAGACATACATGACTCCTTAAAAGTAAAACTCACCTTCTGAACCTCCGCTACTCCTGTAGTGTCTCTATCAGTGCCTTCTGACACAGTGGGAGAAGTTGTTTCTTGTGTTGAAATTCCATTGATACAGACAAAGGTGTCATTCCTCCTGACAAACAAATAAAGTTAAAATCATTGTCATCATCATCATCATGTTAAACTCCTTTCACAGTTAAAGGGTTACCTTTGGGAACAGGTAGAACACGTGCAATTCCTATTTCATTGTGAGTTGTAAATTCAGCAGCTTTTCTTTCCTTCTCTTTCAAAATGAGGGAGTGCTCATTTTCAAGGTTTTTTATAGAAATCTGAATTTATGGGTAAGAACTATCTCACCTTCCTAACTACTAGTAAAAAATAAAAAAACAGTTCGCTTCATTACCCAAATTTTACTCTGGAATTCCGCAAGGCACTTCTTTGTGTCCAATCCCTTTGGTCTTTTGTAACAGCAATTCCTGTTTCCTACAATATATCTCCTTTTCATTGATTATTTGCCTTTCAAATTTTAGAAATACTGGTGTGCATTTTTTTAAAAAATTGTAGTTTTATTTCTTTGGGATCCTTTTATGTAAGTGTCTACAATCTGGTTACACTTCTCTTTTCAGTTTAGAAATTTTTTTGGAAGCTACAGTAGGCCCTGATCAGTTTGCTCTTGATTTAACCCAACACACTTTTCTAAATTACTCCCACTGCCTCACAATAATATGGCAAATGGCCGTATTACCAAATCGTGTCTGTGAAAAGGAAAATCCTGGAAATTGCTGATGGTAGACAGGAGTTTTAAACAGACACAGCCAAGACAGACATTTCCATGTACAACGAGGTCACATTACAATATTTTCTGCAGCTATATAATCCTGTGTTCATAGAACTTCTGTGGACTAGGAGCCATGGAAACGGCTGCAGATGGGACTGCTGCTAGGTACAATTTACAGTTTCTGCTACTACAATTTACAGTTTTTCATTACTACCTTTTCAAGTAATCTTGCACATTGCCTGACCATTCCAGAACACATTGAAACATCTCTTCATTCAGGATCTTGTGCAAAACTTGAACAAAGAACTCAAGAAAACGTGATTTATTTCTGAATTTCATCACTGCAATAAAGTAACAAATAATAAACACTTTTTTTATTTATGCTGTAACAGGTTTCTGAATTCAGCTATAATTACAGCTATGTATCTCTCAAAGCACATATTTACATCATGTTGCATGCTGATGATATCTAAAATCAGATAGGTCACGATACAGAATAGCAGTATTAAATACTTCTTGTGACCAGGCATCCAGAATCACAAGTTCACTCTATTTACAGCCCTAGAATAACAGACACTATTTTTGAATCATGCAGTATATAGTGCAAAAATATTTTATAACAATATTCAGCATGTCTAATTGTACACATTCCTGAAAATCCTAAACCAAACAATAAAGCAAGTAAAACCATAGTAACTTCATGCCGTTCACTTAGGCTGCTCTTCTCAGTGACAGTCACAGTTTACAAGCATCACACAGTTCTCAATGCAGGAGTGGAGCTGTGTTGTGTAGATTTTAGGCAGCTCTTCAATTGTTTGCAAACTGCTTTTACTGTTTGGCTGTCTTCATAATTTATTATCATCAATAAATAAATAAGTATGTATCCTATCTGAAAGCTATATTAATTTTACATACTGGGCTCCATTGTTATTTGAACACCAGTATTTAAAAACATAAGGCAAAGGCCACATACCAGAATCTTAAATCCTATTTCAAACACGCAAATGTACTCAGCCTTGTGTAAAATCCTCTTTGAGTAACATAATTTAATGTGGAAACGGGGCATCTCAATTTAAAAAGAACATTCCACACAAACAGAATCTTTGAAAACTTGACACAACTTTAGAAAATGAGTTGATTTTCAAGTTTATTAGAAAATAAATATTATTCAAATTATTTAAAATATTAACATTTCATATACTTAACATCAACATCCAAAATAATTTGTTGCAAGTATTTCATACACTTCTAAATGTGACTATATCATAGACTTTTTTTTAAGCTATGCTTTACTTGATCTTGTATAAATGAGAACAAAATAAAGAGAGCGTTTCCTAGAGCTTATTCCAAGCACGAAGTAGATAGCTTTACCGGCAACTTTCTAAAGAAGCCTTTACAATTAAAATGAACACCAATTATCCTACCTTCTCGATAAGCATTGTTTGACGTCCAACATGAAATCACAGGGTAGAGGAAAAAAGGATCTTCCAGTCCTGTAAGCTCTGATCCACGAGCTACATCAATAGCCAAATCAAATCCATTATGATAAGCAGTGATAGTGTACAATAGAAATTCTAACTGGAATCATAACTCAAGACCAGAAAAATCCTTCTTTAGCACAGAGTTTGCTTTTAAATCTCTCACTGTCATCCAGAGAGAAATTCAAAAGCTTGCTCTTTTCTTCTAACATAAGTAGCTGTGACACTTAAATAATGAAGAGCTTACAGATGTGACTGATGAACTTCCAGCTACTAAACTAATGAGCAGGATGTCTGGAGTTCATCAGAAGTCTAACAAAGGTCCATACAAATCATCCGTTGAGGAGGATGTGCAGCAAGAACAAGTCCAAAAATTATATTTAAAGATATACAGCATGAACTGAACACATGATACTGCTAACATACATGCTCGGTACATGGATAGCAAAGATAGTAAAGATTTTTTTTTCACCACCTACATATTTATATAAATGTACTTAAACAAATGTAAATATTTATATTCTATAAATAACATATTTCTATTGTAATGTAAATTATATAGACATGTAAATAGTATATATAGTATATAGTAGTACAAGAAACTGGATTTCACCTTCTGAGAATTAAATACAACTGCATCACCAGCTGATGAGCACCAGAAAAATGTTACCTGTGCTAGTTGCTATTTTGCCTTAATAAAGAAACATGACCTACAAATTTTGTGCTTAGGCAAGTTCTGCAGTTGAAAAAGATCAATGCAGCTAGTCCCTGAAAAAAGCGAGGTTAAAAATGCACTCTGGAACAAACAGATGTGATACTGGATCAAAAACTACACCCTCCAGTGGCAGCAGTCAGTTGAAGTCTGTTGAGTGCAAATAATGTCTAATTAAATAGGACAGTGAGCAGGACAATCAAATTTTTTAAATTTTTCTTTCTAGGACAAGTCACACCCTTTGTTAGTACTCTACCCTATTTGTTCAAAAATATATTGCTTCAAATTAACATTTTCAAAAGTATAATACTTCCTTTTTTTTTACATGGGAGAACATTTCAAATTTCAGAATCTAAATTGCTTTGTGTATGAAATATTTTAGTTTTCTCAGTCTCCTATGACAGAGGCAGATTCAGCTCTTTTTCATTTTTCTCTTAGATCATCATCAATGGAATGCTAAGTGTTAATCCACTTTTAAGGATTTCCTACAACAAGGTTTTTTCAAAAATATTTTTAACAGCATGCCCTACAGGTGTGCACATTGTCCTAAACCATGGACAGCTGTAAGTTTTGTTATTTGTTTTGCATGGCCTCAGCAGAAGACTCCTCTTTAATTTGTATCCTGAAACTTATTGACAAATATGCCGTTTCTGCAACAGAGCAGACTTCAACAGTCAAGTATTTGCCAATTACTGAAAATGTGTTCTTCTTTAACTGATCAACCCATTAATCTAGCTTTTTATTAAGAATGGAATATAATTTTATTAAGTAATCAGCGTAATTGTCAATTAATTTATAGAATACATTCATCCTGTAACTTGTTCTGCAAGAATGCAGGCATCAATGTTAGCAGCAAAAAATGAAGGATCAGTGCACAGATGAATGGAAGTTTTCCATCACTCTTTTTATCCTATTTATTACAGAAATACTTTCTCTTCTAGGACATATGCATATACAGAGATGATGGACAATAACTAGAACCTGAGTCACCCATGTGCCCTTGCAGCAAAGTCGCATACTGGGCTGTATTAGAAACAGCATAGCCAGCAGGTCAAGGGAAGTGATTATTCCCCACTATTTGTCACTTGTGAGACCACATCTAGATTACTGTGTTTAGTTTTGGACACTGTAGTACAAGATACCGACATAATGGAGTAAATCCAGTGAAGGGCCACCAAGATGATAAGGAGCTGAAATGTACGACAAAGCAAGAAGAGGCTAAGAGAATTGGGTTTATTCAGTCTCAAGAAGAGAAGCCTACACCTACCTAACAGGTGGAATACAGAATGTGGAGACAGACTGTCCTCATAGCACAAGAGGCAATAGACACAAGTTGGAAATCAGAAAATGTCAAATAGCTATAAAGAAAACCTTTTTAATCATAAGGGTGGTCAACTATTGGAACAGGTTACCCAAAAAAGTTGCAAAATCTCTTTCTTCAGGGCAATTCAAAACTTGACTGGACAAATCCCAGAACAACCTGATCTAATTGTACCTGTTTTGAGCAGGGGATTGGAATAAATGCCTTCCAGAAATGCCTTCCAACCTAAATTATTCTATGATTCTATCCAGGATCCAAGGAATACAAGATGCCATGTAAAAATAATGGAAGAAAAATCAGAAGTGGCTCTGCGTTTTAAGTTCTAATTGAATTTCCTTTATAAATTCTACTTATTAATTCATCTAACTTTGGTAGAACTATGAGCTGGAAAATTTTTGTGCTTAATCCAGACTCAAAGATATTTTAAAGGTGATATATTCATTCCTGAGTTACAAGGTAGTTAAATGCTAGTACACATGCAATTCCTTCACAAAGAGGACATTTTCTGTTAACTTTCTTCAGGAAGCCTTTTCTCCACTAAAATTTCCTGCAGTGGTCATTATTACTGGCAATGGTAGGATAGTAAGACATGCCACATAAATGGACAATGGCCTCTGCCACTGCATTTTTTGATTCAGAAAAACAAATAAAGCCTAAATAACACAGAACCAAATTTACACAGATTGGGAGAACATATATATTTGCAGAACAGAACAAAAATGAACATTCCTGTCTAAGAAGGAATGACTGTTTTGGTGGAAATGATGAAAAAGAAGAATAAGCGTCATTATACACATCACTACCTGTGATAAATAAGATCACTGAAATTATGAATTTGGTTGATTTATCATGGAAGATATATGAAATACAAGTACTTCTTAGGCAAATAATTTTTACAAATAAACCATAGAAAATTTCATAGGAAAAGGTAAAAAGTGTTTAACGGTACACCCACCTGGATTTGTCAGTCTGAGGAGATTTGATTCAAGAGCACTCAGATTTTCTGTTGCTTTTTGCATTGCAGCTAAATGGGATGTCTTTGCAGAAGTGGTCTGAAATATCCAATACCTGGTTACGAACACTTAGCTCTTACCTAACTAAAACCAGCAGGTCAATGTGGAGTTTGGGTTAGATCTCAAGTCTTCTAATTCTATATCTGATAATTTAATCACTAATTTCATCAATATTGTCTTATTTTTCTTTTCAAGTGAGATAAAATTGATGTTCATAAACATGTTAGTATAGCTGTAAAAACCTGGCCATGAGTCATTCTTGATTGTTCCCCAAGGGAGTGAGTGGAGTTGCTCTGACACCAAATACATTTTTAGGTAAGTCCCTAAAATGTGACTACAACAACATATTTGAACATATTGCTTCACAAAATACATTGTTTTCCAGAAAAAAATAATCTTTTGTAGATTATTTACTGCCTACAGATATCAAAATCTTCCTCTGGAAAGAAAGTGCGACGTTTTTTTCACTTTTGAAAATATAATTTTCAGTCAGGTCTGCTTGGCTTAAGATATTATATTGTTCCTATGATCTTAGATTACTTCCCCTTTTTCTAGTAGGAACTTGAGAGCAACTAACACAAACTCAGCAATAACCAATGGAGAAAAGAGATTGTCCTGGATCCTATCAGTGTCCTACAAATTTTCTTCCAGAAATCCTTCCCTGTGAACTGACTGACTTTTTGTCCCTCTCTCCAATATATCTCAGTTTCATGTTCACACTGCTTCCTTTCTTACTCTCCCATTATTCCTACTTTCTTACCTCTTTTTCAAACATTCTCTCTAGTAAAATATCTTCTAAAATTGCTTAAAGAAAAAACAGACAGAAAAGTACAGAGAATCAACACTTTACTCTGACTCTAAATTGTAGGAAATCCTCACAACCTGATGCATCTCTTTGTAATTTAAGTATTAAGGTCACTGAGGTTGAAGGTTCTTCCTCCACTTAGAAGTATTTTTCAGTCTACACAATTCCTAAGTTACTCTCTTATGACTCAGTTTCAAGCAGCTGCTACACTAAACGAGAGGCTAAGTTTCCACATTATCTAGGATATTTTTACTCTTCTTTACTTATACAATTCATTAATTATTTTTTCTGTCTAAGAAAGCATTCCTG